TGCATGCAAATGGTACATTCGACACCTTCATGTACATGCAGTTTCAAATCTGCCACCATTTCTTTGTTTACCAACTGCCGCAAACTTGTAAAATTCGTGTGTCCATACCTTTTGTGCCATTTCATGACTTCATCAGTCGCATTACAAGCAAAGAACATTTCGCTGCTACTAGCACCATACAAAAATAAATTTCCGATCTTCTTCAAATCGAGATTTATATGTCTTGCCAAAAATCGAGATTTATATGTCTTGCCAAGTGAGAGTTACATCTACGTTGAAGGTGTAATAACATCATCAGACCGAAAACTAACGGCTAATGCTCGTTTACGTAATAACTGCGTAGCATATTTATTTGATGAAATACGATATGAATTAAATGGTATCGAAATTGATCGTACACGCTATTTTAGGAGCATCGAGCACTATGAGAGTAATATTATGAAGAATGCTGGATGGACTAATGGTGCTGATTTAAATAGGAACATGTTTAATTTTTGCATTCCACTTAAAATGCTGTTGGGGTTTGCAGAGGACTATAATAAAGTAATATTAAATAGTAAAAATGATCTTATTATGCTGCGTAGTCCGAGTAATCAAAATGCATGTTATTCTACCGATTCGAACGAGAACCTAAATGTAGAAATAAATAATATAACATGGAGGATACCTCATGTAAGCTTAGCAGATTCATCAAAGCTGCAGATTATGAGAATAATAAATATTGGAAAACCTCTTCCTATTGCATTTCGAAGTTGGGATTGTCAATTTAATCCAACGTTTCAGGATGCAACTAAATGTCATTGGAATGTAAAATTGTCGACTAATAGAGAACGTCCACGCTTTATATTACTCGCCCTAGAAAAAGAAGGAAAATGTATTCACTTAAATTTGGTAAACGTGAAAGTTCATTTGAATTCAGAAGCATATCCGTACGATGATTTAAATCTGAAGTTTGATGAAAATAGATATGCCGTACTTTACGATATGTATGCGAAATTTCAACAAAACTACTTTTTAAGGGAACCACAACCAATATTATCTTGGGAAGAGTTTAAAGAAAACCCAATTGTTCTAATTGATGTAAGCCACCAAAACGAAGTAGTCAAAAGCGGTCCAATAGATGTTCAAGTGGAATTTGAAACTAATTCACAAATTCCAGCTGGTGTAGCTGCTTACTGCTTAATCCTTCATGATCGATTAATCGACTATAATCCTTTAAATGGAATTGTTCGAAATATGTTGTAATATTCTATTAATTTCATTATTTCATTAATTAATTCATTTCATTAATTAATTGATAATTTAATAATGAAAAAAAAATACATTTTAAAAATATTTTTTATATTGTTTATTCATTTCTTCGTTATTTATATAAATATAAACATATACATATATGTGAAATACATTAATCTTAACTAAAAAATAAATTATCAATATCAGTTGCTTCATTCAATGGATTTGTAAATTTTTTTTACGCTCTATAGCTACATGACCCCAAGCATATGTGTTCACCTTATCTTGGCGAACCATTCTTTTAGTATCTTTAAAACTTAATACAATTTTAGATAACTCATTTGTATAAATTTAAAAGTATACATGGTATCACTAACTATGACTTCATTAAATAGAGTATTCTTATAATCTTCTATGTTATATCGCCTAATGACACATTTTTTTACACCTTTAGCTTTTTTAACTTCCACGCCATCATCTACCGTATACGAGTACATTTTTGAGCCTAAGCCAACAAATTCAAGCATAATTTTTCCACAATATGTTATGTTATACACATTATCCTCAGGGTAAGCTGACGTATCGAAGTATTGATCAACATCTGCTCTTATATCCTCATAGATATCTTCAGTATATATAGTATATATGAATGAATCCGTATCCATATAATTTAGAATTACGCGCTCACCAAATTTATTTTTCATATAACCGTAATGGAAATCATACATTTTCCATTTTGCTAATTCCAATATACAAAACCCTAAATGTATAGGTTTGTTGTAAGTTACACAGAGTCTCTCCATTTGGATTGCCCAAAGATCATTGCAAAATTGTGTAGCGCTATGGAAGTTGGGTTTAGCTATCAAAGATTGAGCTCCTAATTTATTTCGGTTAGTTGTTTCCCAATGATTTACTAACTTTATATCTTTCCGTTTATCTATATTTTCCATAGTTTTTCCAAATACTGCATTATTGAAAAGTTTAAATAAATTCCTTAAGAAATCATTGTCCGCTTTTTGTCTTTCTTCAGTATTTTTATCTATATATGAAGCTAACCATGGAGACTGATCAAAGGAAATTACGCGATGAACTTTATCCAAAACCAGACCATTATCTAAGCATTGCTTTAAAGTCATATAATGTATGCTATATGATTTCTTTGGATCAAAATCGGCAATCAGCTTGTCATATTTTGAACCCCCAACTTTTTGTTTTCAGAACAGAAAGGCAAATAATTATGCTTATCATGTAACGTTGTTGGATAACTTAGATCCACTTCGTATATGTAACCAATGTTTGAATTTGCCTTAAAGTTCTGTATTTGTCTAGCATCTTTTATTATATCTTCATTTTTGACCCATTGAAAATTACCATTAGGGAGATATTGCCTCATAGCCCAACCGTAGAGATTATTCGCATCAATATATAATAAATAACTTGATGGAGAGTTTTGATCAAAATTTTTCATATATTTATTGTTCGCTTTAGTGTACCTCCTTGAGCACTGTGTCAGACCGCCTCTAATACCATTCTTAATTAAATGAAACATGTCTAGATCGGTTAATAATTCAAGACCTACTCTTGTTTGCCTGAGCATAGCATCAAATGATAATTCCGGTGCTGTATAATACTGACAAGGATCAAACTTATGAACATTTTTACATGACTTTCTAAAATTTTCAAAAACGTCAGTAAGAAGTAGAACGTCAGCCTTTAAATATAACTCCATGTAATAACGTAAAGTTTTACAATTGAATGTTTGCCACACTTTTATAGCATGTTCATATTCTTCTATATAGCACCTTTTATCACTTAATGTACTATAAAATGACTCGATTGGAAGTAGAGTAGTGTCGTTCAACTTCTCAAAGGAATTTAAATATTCATAACAGAATATTCCCTTTTTCCTCATGAGAGTGAATTCATTATCATTGGTGAAATGTTTTCCAATAGATAACATATCTCCATCTGTACAGTAGCTAGCTAAAGCATCTTAACTACTAGCCATAAAACGAATTGAATCCAAAAATCTATATTCAAACGTCTTGTGTCTATCATAAGGATTCATATTCACCGTATGCGATAAAGAAATATATTTTTCTTTTGTTAGAGGAATTATGGTGGTGTTTCCCTCTATAGTGGTCAAAAGCTCTTTAACAAACAAATGGCAATCATATTCTGAAAAATTATGGAAAAATATTGGGATGAATTGTGCTACCGTATAATTAATGTTACATACATTATGAGCTGCCCCTCTAAATTTACCAGTTACGTGACAATGATCACGAACTTTATCATCATATAAATTTTTATCACAAATATGGCAATTTAGTGCTGAGTCAAATATACTTTGCTCGATAGATGATAGCGGTTTCATTGGCGTATTAAGAGACAAGTAATAATTATAAATTTCTCTACAGGAAACATCTAATTGCTCTATAAATTTCTGAGCTGCATCCTCACCAGTATAGTGATGATATACATCTAAACTACTATCAAATTAACATTTAATATTGAATCCATATGTACATGGAATATGCTTCTTAATTCTTTCCCCACCTGCTGTTACAGTCTCTAAAACACATTCAAAATCTGCATAAATAACAAATGGTACGTCCATTTGTTTTCTAAAGTTCCAAAATTCTAAAATACTTTCCTCAACTGTGGGCATTTTTGTGACGACACGACTACAATACTTTTTGTGAATAATCATAAGATCTTCTCTGGGTGTGCAGTAGAAACAGCTATTACAAATTGATATTTTTCTTCTATAAGTAGTAAGCTGACTCCTAATCAATCTGAAAGAAACCAACATGTTAAATACACAAATTGATACATTGTTTGTATTATATTTACCTTGAAACATGCTTTACTAATATGAAGTGAGCCTTATCTGCCTCCGCCAGTAAAATTAAATTCACATGATTCGCCTTTTCCGCTTTTGTGTAGTATAAGGGTCCAACAACTTCTTTATCGTATCCGAATACATTTATGCTTATCTCTGGATTGTTGGTTTCAAACTCTGATATATTTTTCAGCTCAACTGGAAAATTCATTCCTTCGAAATTGAGAGTAACACCATTTCGGAGGGTGATTTTTTCTGCCTTTATGTCCGGAATTGTGTATGATGAAGTCCTTGTTGGATTTCTATTCGGAGTACTATCCATTGCTGCAATTAAACACCATTTGAAGCAGAATTTATCGTTATTTTTTAAGTTCCAGCACGCTTTCTTATGTCGCAACGATTTAGGAGTATTTATATACTGCGATCCTTTAATTGGAACAGACTTATTTAGGTTCAACTCCAGCCACAATATTTTAGATAGAGCCCATCCAGAATCCCTTTCTTGAAATTCAGACCTCTTATTCTTTATAGAATCTGCATGTGTATTGAATATTTCGTCAACATCATCTGAGAGCGTTATTTGACTCATTTTGTTTATATGCCCCATGCTTACAACCTTGATTTCATCCTCAAATATCTTTGCATATTCAACAACGACTTCTATATTAAACTTTAAAACTGCGTACGTTTCCACAGCATGTTTAATCATATTTGTTATTGCATCTTTAGATTTCGAAAAGAAGTCATCAATATTGATTGTAGTTTCTTCGCACTTATATTGATAAGTTTTAATGCGATTTTGAAAACCACTATTTATCAATACCATTCTAGGATCAATAACGGTACAACTTTTTTCTTTGTGAGAGTTTGTTCTACAGTGATTAAACCACAGATTTTTTCGCACATTTATGTTGCACGAATATCAATACATAAAGACATATGATTGCCTCTTTCTTTCAGACATCTGTTGTTGAATATTTTGTTCATTTCCTTTGTGATTGTCCATTTGTTGTTGTTGAGAGGTTTGATATTGTTGTTGGTTATAGTGTTGCTGCTCATTTCCTTCGATATTTTCCATTTGCTGATGATGGTGATATTGCGACTGTTGTTCATTAATATTGTATTGTTGTTGGTTTGTTTGATATTGTTGGTGATGAAAATTGTGTTGTTCCTGTTGTTGATCAAGTTGTTGCTGCTGTGATCTATGAAGTTCTTTCTTCCGTTGTTGATGTAAAAGATATGGATGATAGCGATTATTTTGATATGATTGTAGTTGTTGATTATATTTTCCAGAATAATTATATTGCCCATGATTATTGTATTGTCCAGCATGACGATATTGCTCAAAATTATATTGACCTTGTTGTTGCTGATTGTGATGAGTTCCATAATGAAATTCTAATGCTTGAGAATTTATAAACATCTGATTACATAAATTACATAACTTATGTAGTTCACAATGCTTTTGATATTCCATGCTGTTAACAAATTCTACAGCGCAAATATTGCATTTAAAACCCATCGAATTCATTTTTGATTTTTTTCCTTTTTTTTATTCAGAGAACAAATTTAAAAAATTTGTAGGGAGTGTGGTTTTTCGTCGAAGTCTCAACAGAAAATGAAGATTTTCATTTGAAATAAATAAAGGAAAAAAATCATTTCAGTTTACAACAATAATGCACACTAGCATACACATATGGATAATTTGATACCTATTATTAAAAACATGATTTCATGAAAATTTATGATATTTACGAAAGAAATATTTCAATCTTTAAAATAGTCTCACATCTTAAAAATAACTTTGAAATGTCTTCCTATTGAAGCAGGTGTGAAAAGAAAACACTCGTAATTTTCTAGTTAAAACAGCAAAAACAAATAAAGGGTTGATAAAAAAAAACTGTGAGGTATGTAAAAACAATAACCTCAGCAGAAAAGAACGCCACTTTTCTTCAGCATACAAGTCTTTTTCAACAGGACCGGGATCGGTCTATTGATGTTGTACTATTAAAAAAAACATTCGAAAATAATACTGCACATTTAACCACAATCAATAAAAACACACAAACAAAATTAGAAAAAACGCTTGAATGTTTTTTCCCTAGATAGGGTCGTATATGTAAACATTCCTATGTAACAATATTTACTCAAAATGGTCACTTGGGTTGGCTCTAGTTCCCACGCGTGTGAAAAGAAATCTCTTCTGGTCACACGTATAAAAAAAGTCTTCCTACTCAAACAGTTGTTTAAAGCATAGATGCCCAATGTAATAGTATTGGTGAGAGCGACGAAATAACACTGGAAGAAAAGATTTTTCTATTCATTTTATTTAGTCGTCAACAAGATAGGGACGAAAGCACATGCGTGGCGGGTGTCGTCATTTTTTTTCTTTTTCTGGGAAATGTAAAACTAATGAATGTACATATTTTAGTAATACTCTTGATAAATGCATTTATTTTAGTATTTTCTTCTTCCCCCTGCAAACAATTCATGTCTTTATGAACAGTTTAAAAATGTTTTTTTTTTTTAAATTATATTTCTAATTTTTTTAAATGTCTTATAACATATATAACATATCATCAAAAGCATTTTGTAGCATAAAATACTTTTCAAATGACATCATTGACATATCGCAATAATTTTCAGTTTATGTGTTCACTAACAGCAGTCTCGATTACGATTAAATGTAAATATTACACAGAACTTCTGCCTGTCAAGTCAACCTGGACCTCGACACACAAGTCAAACATTATTATTTAACCCCACGTCATTTTTACCGCAACTCAAAAATGTATGTTGGATTGCTCTATGTCTATTTAGTAACAACATAAACTACTAGGATTTGTTTTCTTACTACACACACAAGAACGCTCGTACACAAGAATATTAATTTATTGCCCCCTAATCCCCTTCCCTTTCTTGAATTGTTCTAGGTGTGAAATAAATCCTCACTTAAAACTAGATCGATCCGAACTTGTCATAACTTATTACCGCTAACCCCCTTCCCTTTCTTATAACCATTTACAAAGGTGCCCGTTGATGTTTTCGCACGAAATTGCTCCTCCAGCCAAAATAATTGTGTGACCTGTGAACGACTTCCGATCACTTGCGTCTCCACCCCAATCTGCATCAACATAGCATTGGCTCGCCTGTCCTTTCATACCTGAGTTGTATATCGATCGTTTTCTTCAAATATCTCAGCACTCTTTTCGCTGCTGTAAAGTACTCTACATGCGGATCACAATTTCTCTGAGATAACTTTGCTACTGAATGTATTACGTCTGGCCTTGTACATATACCCAAATACATCAGTGATCCAATAAGCGACTGATATTCGAGTTGATCCGCCTTCCTGCACTTTTCATCAAAACACGCCACTTGATGATTTGGTTCCAACGGCGTTGCGATATCTCGGCAATTTTCCATACCATAACGTTGCAGCAAATGTTTGATATTCTCCCGTTGACTCACAGCAATTGGACTTGTTGGGCTTTCTCTTTCAATTTCCATACTCAGGAAATGATTTACAGGGCCTTTGTCGACAATTTACACTCTTTGTGCTATCAGCCCTTTGATGAGTTCAATGTCATTCAGCTCTGAGCATCCAATTAGAATGTAATCTACGTACACTGCAATTATGTTTAATTTCTTGCCATCCCTTTTTACGTATACACACGGCTCTCTTTTGTAGGCATAAAATCCAATGTTGTTTAATATGGAATTCAACTTACGATTCCACTGTCTGCCGGACTGCTTCAAACCATACAACGCCTTCTTCAGTTTTAGCACGTGATTGGGATAGCTCTTGTTTACAAACTTCTCCGGCTGTGTGATATACACATCTTCATCTAATTCACTATTCAGGTAGGCGGTTGATACGTCGATCTGATGAAGATGAAGTTTATATTCCGCTGCCAACGCAAACACCATTCGTATTGATTCATAGCTGACTACGGGCGAAAAGGTCTCGGTGTAATTAAAATTGCGTATCTGCGCACAACCTTTGGCTACCAGCCTTGCTTTGAAACGCTCAATATAGCCGTTCTTGATTTTCTTAAAAGCAAGCACCCACCTGCAACCAATTGCTTTCTGCCCTTCAGGTAGCTCCACAAGATCCCATGTGTTGTTATCAATAAGCGTTTGATGCTCGGCTTCCATCGCATCCCACCAATATTGCGCATATTCACCAGATCGTTTCCCGTACTACAACTTTCTCGGAGCACATAAAATTCACGGTATTGAATTCTTTTGCAGGCCTACCTGGTCGACCACTACGTACAATTCTCGGTCTTCCAGGTCCTCTCTTAGCTGCGGCTTCTGCAATCTTATCGTCATCTCTCTACTTTCATTGGCCCTTCATGAAGTACACACAGACATAACGGCTCTTATCATCGATGAACGTGAGTATGTATTTGGCACCACCACATGAATTTGTGTTAATTGGCCCACACACATCGGTATGCACAATTTCTAATAGCTCTCTCGATCTATTCTCCGATGTTGGGAACGATCTAACTGTACATTTACTTTGCATGCAAATGGTACATTCGACACCTTCATGTACATGCAGTTTCAAATCTGCCACCATTTCTTTGTTTACCAACTGCCGCAAACTTGTAAAATTCGTGTGTCCATACCTTTTGTGCCATTTCATGACTTCATCAGTCGCATTACAAGCAAAGAACATTTCGCTGCTACTAGCACCATACAAAAATAAATTTCCGATCTTCTTCAAATCGAGATTTATATGTCTTGCCAAAAATCGAGATTTATATGTCTTGCCAAGTGAGAGTTACATCTACGTTGAAGGTGTAATAACATCATCAGACCGAAAACTAACGGCTAATGCTCGTTTACGTAATAACTGCGTAGCATATTTATTTGATGAAATACGATATGAATTAAATGGTATCGAAATTGATCGTACACGCTATTTTAGGAGCATCGAGCACTATAAAAATTTTGTTTCTCTTACAAGTGTTGAGAGTAATATTATGAAGAATGCTGGATGGACTAATGGTGCTGATTTAAATAGGAACATGTTTAATTTTTGCATTCCACTTAAAATGCTGTTGGGGTTTGCAGAGGACTATAATAAAGTAATATTAAATAGTAAAAATGATCTTATTATGCTGCGTAGTCCGAGTAATCAAAATGCATGTTATTCTACCGATTCGAACGAGAACCTAAATGTAGAAATAAATAATATAACATGGAGGATACCTCATGTAAGCTTAGCAGATTCATCAAAGCTGCAGATTATGAGAATAATAAATATTGGAAAACCTCTTCCTATTGCATTTCGAAGTTGGGATTGTCAATTTAATCCAACGTTTCAGGATGCAACTAAATGTCATTGGAATGTAAAATTGTCGACTAATAGAGAACGTCCACGCTTTATATTACTCGCCCTAGAAAAAGAAGGAAAATTTATTCACTTAAATTTGGTAAACGTGAAAGTTCATTTGAATTCAGAAGCATATCCGTACGATGATTTAAATCTGAAGTTTGATGAAAACAGATATGCCGTACTTTACGATATGTATGCGAAATTTCAACAAAACTACTTTTTAAGGGAACCACAACCAATATTATCTTGGGAAGAGTTTAAAGAAAACCCAATTGTTCTAATTGATGTAAGCCACCAAAACGAAGTAGTCAAAAGCGGTCCAATAGATGTTCAAGTGGAATTTGAAACTAATTCACAAATTCCAGCTGGTGTAGCTGCTTACTGCTTAATCCTTCATGATCGATTAATCGACTATAATCCTTTAAATGGAATTGTTCGAAATATGTTGTAATATTCTATTAATTTCATTATTTCATTAATTAATTCATTTCATTAATTAATTGATAATTTAATAATGAAAAAAAATACATTTTAAAAATATTTTTTATATTGTTTATTCATTTCTTCGTTATTTATATAAATATAAACATATACATATATGTGAAATACATTAATCTTAACTAAAAAATAAATTATCAATATCAGTTGCTTCATTCAATGGATTTGTAAATTTTTTTTACGCTCTATAGCTACATGACCCCAAGCATATGTGTTCACCTTATCTTGGCGAACCATTCTTTTAGTATCTTTAAAACTTAATACAATTTTAGATAACTCATTTGTATAAATTTAAAAGTATACATGGTATCACTAACTATGACTTCATTAAATAGAGTATTCTTATAATCTTCTATGTTATATCGCCTAATGACACATTTTTTTACACCTTTAGCTTTTTTAACTTCCACGCCATCATCTACCGTATACGGGTACATTTTTGAGCCTAAGCCAACAAATTCAAGCATAATTTTTCCACAATATGTTATGTTATACACATTATCCTCAGGGTAAGCTGACGTATCGAAGTATTGATCAACATCTGCTCTTATATCCTCATAGATATCTTCAGTATATATAGTATATATGAATGAATCCGTATCCATATAATTTAGAATTACGCGCTCACCAAATTTATTTTTCATATAACCGTAATGGAAATCATACATTTTCCATTTTGCTAATTCCAATATACAAAACCCTAAATGTATAGGTTTGTTGTAAGTTACACAGAGTCTCTCCATTTGGATTGCCCAAAGATCATTGCAAAATTGTGTAGCGCTATGGAAGTTGGGTTTAGCTATCAAAGATTGAGCTCCTAATTTATTTCGGTTAGTTGTTTCCCAATGATTTACTAACTTTATATCTTTCCGTTTATCTATATTTTCCATAGTTTTTCCAAATACTGCATTATTGAAAAGTTTAAATAAATTCCTTAAGAAATCATTGGCCGCTTTTTGTCTTTCTTCAGTATTTTTATCTATATATGAAGCTAACCATGGAGACTGATCAAAGGAAATTACGCGATGAACTTTATCCAAAACCAGACCATTATCTAAGCATTGCTTTAAAGTCATATAATGTATGCTATACGATTTCTTTGGATCAAAATCGGCAATCAGCTTGTCATATTTTGAACCCCCAACTTTTTTGTTTTCAGAACAGAAAGGCAAATAATTATGCTTATCATGTAACGTTGTTGGATAACTTAGATCCACTTCGTATATGTAACCAATGTTTGAATTTGCCTTAAAGTTCTGTATTTGTCTAGCATCTTTTATTATATCTTCATTTTTGACCCATTGAAAATTACCATTAGGGAGATATTGCCTCATAGCCCAACCGTAGAGATTATTCGCATCAATATATAATAAATAACTTGATGGAGAGTTTTGATCAAAATTTTTCATATATTTATTGTTCGCTTTAGTGTACCTCCTTGAGCACTGTGTCAGACCGCCTCTAATACCATTCTTAATTAAATGAAACATGTCTAGATCGGTTAATAATTCAAGACCTACTCTTGTTTGCCTGAGCATAGCATCAAATGATAATTCCGGTGCTGTATAATACTGACAAGGATCAAACTTATGAACATTTTTACATGACTTTCTAAAATTTTCAAAAACGTCAGTAAGAAGTAGAACGTCAGCCTTTAAATATAACTCCATGTAATAACGTAAAGTTTTACAATTGAATGTTTGCCACACTTTTATAGCATGTTCATATTCTTCTATATAGCACCTTTTATCACTTAATGTACTATAAAATGACTCGATTGGAAGTAGAGTAGTGTCGTTCAACTTCTCAAAGGAATTTAAATATTCATAACAGAATATTCCCTTTTTCCTCATGAGAGTGAATTCATTATCATTGGTGAAATGTTTTCCAATAGATAACATATCTCCATCTGTACAGTAGCTAGCTAAAGCATCTTAACTACTAGCCATAAAACGAATTGAATCCAAAAATCTATATTCAAACGTCTTGTGTCTATCATAAGGATTCATATTCACCGTATGCGATAAAGAAATATATTTTTCTTTTGTTAGAGGAATTATGGTGGTGTTTCGCTCTATAGTGGTCAAAAGCTCTTTAACAAACAAATGGCAATCATATTCTGAAAAATTATGGAAAAATATTGGGATGAATTGTGCTACCGTATAATTAATGTTACATACATTATGAGCTGCCCCTCTAAATTTACCAGTTACGTGACAATGATCACGAACTTTATCATCATATAAATTTTTATCACAAATATGGCAATTTAGTGCTGAGTCAAATATACTTTGCTCGATAGATGATAGCGGTTTCATTGGCGTATTAAGAGACAAGTAATTATTATAAATTTCTCTACAGGAAACATCTAATTGCTCTATAAATTTCTGAGCTGCATCCTCACCAGTATAGTGATGATATACATCTAAACTACTATCAAATTAACATTTAATATTGAATCCATATGTACATGGAATATGCTTCTTAATTCTTTCCCCACCTGCTGTTACAGTCTCTAAAACACATTCAAAATCTTCATAAATAACAAATGGTACGTCCATTTGTTTTCTAAAGTTCCAAAATTCTAAAATACTTTCCTCAACTGTGGGCATTTTTGTGACGACACGACTACAATACTTTTTGTGAATAATCATAAGATCTT